TCTACTCCTCACTCATCACCTTCTTCCTTCCTCCCCTTCTCCTGCCTCCTCTCTCCTCCCTCCTCCTCCTCCTCCTGCCTCCTCATGCCCCCTTACTCCTCCGTCCATGCACATTCTCGCCCTCCTCCTCCTCCAATACACCGCTGCAACACATAGCGCGCAATATATCCCGCAACGCCATCTGCACATTTTTATTAATAAATTAAATACAATATTAGTGAAATAATATAGACGCAGTGTCGCGTATCACAAGTAGTGCAGGTTTCCAACGGAATATATTCACGCTCTTATAGAAATATTAGTAGTAATTTGTTATGTAAATGTTAATCGCATCCATTTTAAAGACGAGACTACAAATTTTCAGAACTTTTTTCTCTGGGATTTGGGGGCAGGGGAATAGCTACACCCGCTAGATCGTAGAGTAGGGATGGGATATAGGGTATGGATTAAAAGCCTAATAAATGTAAATGCCGTAAAGTACGTTTAAACCAACATGTAGTCATACGAAACGCCAAGTCTCATACACTAACCGCCTCCGTCGTCATCACTCGGCAGGATCAAGAAATTTGACGTAGGCCTATACTTGACGCTCCTTATTATACATTCTGTGACTGATCTATTACTTCTACCATGCACTCATTGCGCCAAACATCGTGACAACAAACATCAAAATCCCTCTATTCTTTTATAATCCTCTCTCTTTTAATACAGTAAAAAAGCAATGATATTTACAAGTTTAATCGACATACTTGCTGTCGATGCTGTAACAAAAAATAGACATATGTATCTAGTTGTGTAGACATGCTACATTACGACTGTGATAGCACTTAAAGTAATCTTAAATTATTAGCCATGCATTAACCAGTTAACTAAATCTGGCTGATGGGGATAATGCGTAAATGACACCGTGAAAGCAATAGCATGGATACCCGGGGACTCGAGATTATCCAATACTTTTCAAGGACTATCGTCAGCTGACCGAACAGTAACCTACCTTGATATGTAGCTGGTTTTTGTTCGCTGATTCTTTATGCCACAACAACCGCATCTTTATATGCCATTAAGAACCAGACCATTTTCGCGACGAGCTTAACAAAGGGCACTTTATGATACGCATCTGCAGGCCTATTTTTTGTTGTGCCAAATACCTATACTTACACACACATAGCAAGGGCCTATATATATATATATATATATATATATATATATATCGAAATTGGTGCTAGATTCCTATATTGCTAGATAGATAAGACGCACAACTGTCGTACCGACTCGTACGTTGTATAATATAAGGCATCTAATAATAGTTAGGCCTAGTAACAAATAAGCGGTTACATTACTTGCGATTTATACTCGCTATGTCGTTAATTACAAACACCCACGCACACACGCACACTCATACTCACACGCTCGCGCGCGCATGCATGAACACACTATCTAATAGTACATATCGCGTAAATTGAATGTGTAGTACAATTATATGTTTATAAATGACGATATGTAGCCGATTCTACACACTGCAATGAAAAACATACACGCACATAGAAAATCATCTATATAATGCGGTTATATTATATATGTTATATATATATATGGCCTATGTGTTCCTCTGACCGGCCCCTCCGATTTCATAGAAAAAAATCGCAAATGCATAATAAACGTAAACCACACTTCAATATGCAATAGATAACACGTCAAAATGGTTTGGCCAGCCCAATCTTATTCATTTTTGTTTATTTTATTAGCTTTACATTTCGTTTATATCTTGAAAATACAGAAGTTTACTTTTACACAGTTTGTCATCACCCATTTTTTTCATTTCTGTCAATTTCATTCATTTTATATTTAATTTATGTCTTGAAAACCTAGAAGACCGTCACGTACACCACTGTCCAGATTAATATTTGCCCAGTTACGTAACCAAAATCTACACACACACACACACACACACACACACACACACACACACACACACACACACACACACACACACACACACACACACACACCACACCTCTCCGTATAGGAACTTGTTACGAGTTTTATTCGGTTTTTCCGTTTCTCAGGTAGGAATTTGTTTACGGTTCTGATGTAACAATTACCGTGTATAGTAGTAGTACCCAGTGTTTCTATTCCGTTACAACCTGTCAAGCTTACCCATCGACTCACT